AATAGTTCCAAACTTTTCAGTAATAGAATTACAAGGAAAAATTGACAAAGTGACAATTAGAGGAATTTTAACACACCACTATTGGAAATATAGATAAAGTACACACAAAACAGTAAGGATATAGATTTAATATTAGATACATGCTTGACAATATATATTTTAGAAGCCTGCACAAATAGAGAATATACATTCTTTTCAAGCATATGTAGGGTGGGGCTCGCCCAGTGGCGCAGTGGTTAAGCGCGCACGTTCTGCTTCAGCGGCCCAGGGTTCACCAGTTCGGATCCCAGGTGCGGACATGGCACCGCTTGGCACACCATGCTGTGGTAGGCATCCCATATAGAAAGCAGAGGAAGATGGGCGTGGAAGCTAGCTCACGACCAGTCTTCCTCAGCAAAAAGAGGAGGATTGGCAGTAGTTAGCTCAGGGTTAATCTTCCACAAAAAAAAAAAAAAGAATATATAGGGCATTTTTAAAATTTTTCCATATACTAAGTCACATGAAATGTCTCAATAAATGTTAAATATTTGAATAATACAATTGTTACAAATCAATGTTAACGATAGTTTTTTCAAAGTGTATTCCCAAATAACCCAATGATTAAACAGTAGATCAAAATGGAAATTATAAAATATTTAAAACAGGGAGGAAATGACACCACAACAAATTAAACCTGTGAAATGCAGGCAAAGTAGTACTGAGAAGTAAATTTATTGCCTTAAATGTATTTACTAAAACAAAATAAGAAGTATTTAAAATAGTTAAACATTCAACTTTAACAGATTTAAGCAAAGAAGTATTAACGTCAAAAAAAGTAGAAGAAAGAAACTAATAGAGATAAGAGCAAAAATGAATGGAATAGACAACAACTGCAAAAAATTAAATAGCAGGGACTGTCAACAAAATCAAAAGCAAGTCATTTGTAAATATTCACAAAATATACAAGCTTCTAAGTACCATAAAAAGAGGAAGAGAGAAAGGGAGGAAGGGAGGAAGAGAGGGAGGAAGGAAAGAAGGAAGGAAGTATAAGCAATATTAGCAACAAAAGGAAAGGCTGAAGAGGATGGGGAGAGAAGTCTAGATTTGTTAGGACGCTGCTGGATGGACCAAACAGACCCAGGTAAAGCAGAACAGTGAAGAAGCCTCAATCATCCAAGAGAAGCACGCAGGCACTGAGTCCTACGTGGAAGAAGAAATCACAGAGAATGAGGGAAAAAAACCACAGAGAAGAGCATGAAATGCACTGAAGGGGAGGCAAGTCAAGAGCAGCATAAAGTAACCATATGCTAGCTCTTCAACTATTTTCCTTTCTAAGTAAAAAACTAGCATTACATAAAATAAAATAGATTTAGAATATAATGCCTTTGTTAAGAACTATTTACACAAGATTAAAAGTAACAGAGCAGAAGGCTGAGAGTGAACTTAATTGTTCTTTTATGTATCTGAATAGCTCATTAACAGAAATCAAGGTAGTCATTAAGAAAGCACAGCCAATCTTCCTCCAGAGAAGAATTGCTAATCCAACTACCCATCCAGGGTCTTGTTCCTGATTTCATGCACTAGGAAACACCTTTTAGGTACAAAACACTATTTTATTTCATTTTAATTAATTAAAAATTTTTATTAAATAAGAATTATATAAAAATTACCAATGAATTCAGTGTGTTGTATTTATATATTTTATTTACATGTATGTTTATTTTTGAGATATATCAAAACAGGGTTAAGCAAAATTGTGAAGTCAGCCAAAAAAAATAAAAGCCAGTGTTTGCCTAGATATTCTTCCAGAAATGTTCTGCCCCTAAGCAGTATCCTTTCCCTTAGAAGGCTCTCAGACTATGCTCAGAGGCTTTTGTATTTTAATAGGGGAAAATACATCAAGGTATTTACCACTTGCCTTTAAGTAAAATGTATAAGAAATAATCAGATATTAGCAGACAGATAATTTTGTTAAGTCTTTGTAAAGCAAGCTTTCATACCATCCCTAAAATCATAAAATATGGAACCACTACTATTCTGTCAATTCCTTGGGCCAATAACGCCTGTGATATAGAGGTCAGGATGTGAAATCGAATGAGTGTTTAATGCCAAATAAATAATAAATAATTCAGCTCTTCCTTCACACACGACCTTATTACTCAATATAAAAAAAAAATCATAACAATCTTCCTAACTATAGATCTACTCATATTCCTCTTTTGATCAAAGTGTCAGTGTTTATAAAATAATGTAATAATAACCGAAAGTCACAAGTCCAACACTAAGTCCCAATGCTCTCATTTATGCATGGTAAGCTAGCTTTCCATTTCCTATTCCCACCACCACCACCTGTGCTTTCCTCCTTCCTCAGTTTTGCTCAAGCTGCTTTCTCCACCCAGATTATGAACTTCCCTATTTGCTAAGAACAATCAATTCAGATTTTCCTTAGAGGAACATATCACATGCCTCCTCCTCCACAAGTTTTCTCCTTATCCTCCACATGAGAAGTCTTCCTTCTCTCCTAAGAATCCCATAGCATTTATACTACTCTAGTTTATGTGACTTGTCCTTTCAAATCTTGTGTTATGGTTATTTGTGTTGGACACCTGATACTGATATAATGTTGTGTATCAATTATATCTCAACTAAAAAAAGAAGTAATAAAGTTAAGACACACTAAGACAATTTTAAGTGAAATGTGAAGACAAACTTGATGGTGATTTTTTAAAAATTATATCTAAAAGCTTAAAAACATGACAGGAGAAGTTGATGGGAAAATTTAGGAATATGTGAGTTAAAAAATAATTAAGAGAATGAGATCATATTGGAGAATGATCCTTCTAAGGCAGTGTCAAGGCTTCTCTTCAATGACATGGCAGATAGAGGAGAGTGGCTTAAAAGATAACAGGATCCAGTCTGGGATAAAAGGTGTCTTCTTGCAGGTTGCATATTCAAATCACCACGTTTTTACAGCACTGTGCTTCACAACAAACTGTATCAAACTCTCGATAAAAAGAATTATCAAGCATTATATTTCATCTTCTGTGAGGTAGCACTGTAGAGCTCATTGAAAAGAACACTCTTACACAATCCCTTCATTAAGAAGATGTGAGCGTTGAGGTCAAAGGTTGCAATATTTCTATATTAAAAAAAGGCATCTTGATCTCGTAGTCTCTGCTCATCTAGACCTCTCTACAAGGTAATCAATGCCAGTAGGAGAATTAAATTTAATTGCCTTGTTATTTAATAAGTTTTAGGTACAGTTTCACATGAGGATTAGAAAAAATAATTTCTACTTCAGATTACTTTATAAAAAGCCTATTTAGTTGTAATTCATGGACAAGGTTCTCTACAGATCTCTACAACCTCTAACAGACAAATCCCAAAATAGCTTTTTATTTAAATCACCTTCCCTAATTCCTCTTATTAGGCGTTCCAGAGATGTTAATCCTTTTGCCACACAGTGATTTTCAGGAGCAGCTTTAGTAAAAATGTTAAATTTAAATGCATATATACATGGACTGCATGCTCACATACACACATACCCACACACATACCCACACAAGCACAAAAACAGGTTCATGCTCTGGTAACACCACCTGAAGTCAAAGAACAAGGGCTATCAAACACATTCAATGAGTGAAATTTAAATATAATCAAATCTAATCTAATATTGGCTTTTATGCTAAAAATATGCTGGCTTCCTGCTTTTAAGGAGTCCATCATCATCATTGTCATCATCAGAAAGCAACAAGATGGACAAAACATTATGCTGCTGTTGTACTGTATAGCATGATTTATATAATGTCAGAAAGAACAAACAAAAAACGTGCAATCGTTGCAGAGTATTCTATTTTTGCATGTTGAGTTTAGGGTGTATATGAAAACACATGGAAGAGGTGGGATTTTATGAGGCTCCCAAAGGAGGAAAAGAGGCTGAAGAAGCACAAGAGCCCAAGCGCTCCTCCCTTAAACTGGACCATCAGAGAGAATCTCACAGAGGCTTGTAAGATAAGAGTAACTGGTGTGTGAAACCCCCAGGGTATGATCTTCACTACGCTAAACCCTTTAAATCATGATTTTATCGAAGATCCACAACAATGCTCTGCACTTAGTACTAATAATCTCAGTTTCTTAGATAAGGTTATTGGGGCTTGGAGAGGTCCAGGAACTTGTTTAAAGCCAAAGAGCTACAGGTGGCAGAGTCAGGATTCAACCCAGGACCCTCTGACTTGAAAATTCAAGCTCTTAACTTTGGGCTTGCTGCCACTCACTGTGAAAGGAATGAAGAAAAACTGCCAAAGAAAGATGCAATGCCCGAAGATCCAGGAATTCATTTTTTTAATCTGGAATCTTCTCTGCAATGAGGAAAAGAAGGTGATGAGTAAATGAAAAGCAATAGGATATATCGGGGTATATGATGAAGCCATTTGGTTGAAAACTAATTCGACCTGACCTTGTTTTTCAGAAAGGCCTGACATGGCCTGTTGAGCATGCATTGTACATCTCCTGTACGCATTTAGAATGTCCCAAAGCCAAGGATGACGCTGTTAAAGATACAGACGTAGCTCTTGCCATATCAGGTTTCTTTAAGGATAAGCATCTCTTCCCAGAAATTAAGGATTAGTCACTGACCTGCTTTAACTCACCTTGTGACCACTGACCTGCTGTGCCAATAACGCAATCTCATTACTTGTAAAAGGGATATTCCTGATATATGTGATGTATGCCCTTTGTTCCAAGACGGTATACAACCACTCTTTGTTCCAAGACAGTATATACACACCCTGCTTCTTTGGAGTGCTTCCTTCCTTAGGAGGAAAGACCCTAGGCTATAGTCCTCAGACCTGGTTCATATAATAAACTCATCCCAGTTTTGATTTATAGACTGATTATGGATTATTTGCATTGACAGACTTGAGAGTACCTGGTGGTGTCAGTAGTAGAGTTGAGCTATGTACCCTATTTGCCAGGGAAAAGATTCATTTTCCTCAAAAAAAAAAAAAAAAATCCAAATTTACCTCGTGACCAAAGAGCCTGATTCCAGCACTTTGGAGATGTTAAATGAGGATGCTGCTGTATCCATTAGTGCAGAAACATCAACAGAAAAATGCTGTAAAAGGAAAGGATCAATATTGACCCTAATAGTAGTAATCATATTTTTGTTACTTTACCTAGGGCTAATTGAAATATTTTTACTTAATGATATTGTTAACATAAACAAATATTAGGTTTCAAAATAATATGTAAGGAATGATCATATTTTATTAAAAAAATATAAATATATTTGCAATGAGATTTCATGATCTTTTTTCTTTTTATTTTTGTTTTCTAATTTTCCTAAAAACAACATGCATTACTCATATAATTTTAAAAGTGGGAATAGGAAGAAGTAAAATCTAATAAAACGATTCACATTAACCAAAATATCTATCACCAAAATGGCAATTTATCCATTTCTTATAGTAACTATCATAAAGATCTTCTTCATGGGGACAGGCGTTACACAGATACCACTATCAGAATATTAAACTGGATAATGTCTTGCCTTAGAAACCTTGGCACACATAGATTTTTTTGGTTTTCTTGAAAGTCTTACTCTATAAATCCAATTTTTCAAAGATCCAAGGAAGATTGTTACCTTTATTCATTTCAAAATATCTCTCTATTTTTTCTGTCATTATACTTAATTATATCTTAGTATGGTTTGCTCCTGGTGTCGTATTCAGCTCCTGTCATTTCAAAATTACACTAGATGAGTCACTTCTAAAAGAGAAGTCTGTAAATAGCAAATTCCATCCATGTACGGTACTCCCGTCAGTCTTAAAGGGTAATATTTCCTGAACTTGACCCTAGTTTCAAGAGTGCATCTTGTTGGAGGGCCTGTGGGCTTCTCCCCACCGATTATGTTGGAGTGAAAATTTCAGTATTGTAACTGCATTATTTTAGCACAGAATATTAAAAGATCTGTTGAGCTGTGTTATCATTGCTGATCATTAGTCTGTGTCATTCAGATGACAAGTTAAACTGGTTTTTGAAGAACTGCAATCTTTATGTGTAAATATTCTTTTGAAAAATAAAAAGAGAATAAGTTGGAGTGTAGGAGGAACTATAGATGCATTTAAAAAGAGAGAGCGAGAACATAACCTGGCCTATTATAAATGTATATAAGGAGATCTGTTTTAGAGTTTAGGGTACTTACTACTTACTTACTTACATATCTGGCCTAATTTTAGTTATAGGGGCCTAGAAAAATCTACATAAAATGAGTGTTACTACCAGCCCCATGTCGCAAGGAAAGTGAATCACAGCCCTGATGTAAGAAATTTTATCACCTAAGTTCCTAGAAAGATAACTCGTCAGGAGATGAGTTTTTTTGCACAAATCTTGCATTTTGCTTCAAATTAAACTTTTATCTCACACAGAAAAACATGTGAAGGGGTGGGTAAGTTACACTGTTAGTAATCATGGCTTCAGCGGAGACATAAGTCCTCAATCACTGTGAAGCCTTCTACAATTTGGAGTCTAGATTAACAGCAACATCAGGAGGCACAGTGACCTTGTCCACTTCACAATCTCTGTGCTACAAACCAGGGTGAGAAATTAAAAAGTTTACTCACTAGATAAATCATTTATAATGAATCATCTGATTTTCTAGCCTATCTCTGGATTGTTACAGGCATAATAAATTACAGTAATAACAACTAACAGTCAACAAGAAAAAAATTTCTAAGTAGAGATATTATATCAAATATCATGGCATCTCTTTAAAAATTTCCGGACAAGTGCATTTTAAAGTTAAAATAAAATCCTACTTAGGGCCAATTTTCTGAACAGCCCACACACGCCTTGGGAACTTGAATATCTGCTGCCAAGAGTTCCAACATGTAGAATCCAGCCTGTGACATTTCTGTCTATAATGGGATTATCCCAATATATTCCCCACCTCTACTCAGGGTAAGGCTGCTCAACAACAAGAGCACTTAAACAGAGACCAAGGATCATTAAGAAAAACACTCATGAGATTTGGCAGTTTAATCACATATTTACTGAAGGCTTAAGTTATGCGAATCCTCTGTGGTATTACTTGGCACCAAGAGTTATGAACAAGACAGGGGACAAACTTGAGCCTTTGGGCACTTCATGTAACTTATTCACCAGGACAATTCTTTTCAGCATCTGAGACTAAATTTACAAAAAATATTTATGGATAATTTAAACTATTTAGGGTATTACATTTAGATCAAGCACCTTAGAAGGAATATTAAAATCTTGACAGATCATAGAGTGAAATACCCAAATACTTTTCCATGATAAAGGATTCACTGTCATTTGCATTTAACAATTCATAGATATAAGAAACTTTCATTATCATAAGTATCCCTACTGCATTAACACTTACCTAAACTACAGATTCTTTCTCATTAAATATCTTTGCTGGCCAGGTTTTCATTCTTGATCTTTTTCTCATTCTAAACAGCTTTCTTAGGGGAACTCATTTACATCCATAAATTCTAGTACCTCCTATGCGCTGATATCCCTGAATTATAGAACCACATATTCAACTGCCTGCTGGACAGATCCCCCAAGGTGGTCCATCAGGAATCACAAACTCAACTTGACCAGATAAAATCAATGATCTTTTATATCCAAAATATGTCTCTTTCCATGTTTTCACAAATGAAACTACGAATCAGACTCAGCATTTTAATGGGGCACACATGGGAGAAAGAAGATATAGGCCAGGTCCCTCAAAATTGCAAGTGAGATCAGAGACTCGCCACAAAAACCTAGAGCCCAAAAATATGTGGTGCTCAACAGCTAAAAGAGGTTAAAAGTGAAAAGACAGAAAAGATAGAGCATGCTATGCTAATCAAAAAAGCTGGAGTGGCTATATTAACATTAGATAAACTAGATTTTAGAGCAAAGAATATTGCAAGGAATAGAGAAGATCTCTTCATAATGATAAAGAGGTCAATTCATCAAAAGGACATAATAATCTTAAAGGTTTATGCACCTACAAAAAAACTGATAGAACTGCAAAGAAAAATAGACAAATCTACAACTATAGTTGGAGACTTCAATAACTCTCAATAATTGGTAGACAAAAGTACATTGAAAATCAGTAAGGATATAGGAAACAACACTATCAAACAACTCAACCTAATTGACATTTACAGAATAAAAAAATAGCAAATCAAACCTAAAGTAAGCAAAGTAAAATAAATAATAAGGGCAGGACAGAAATCAACAAAAGAGAAAACAGAAAAACATCAATAAAGTCAAAACCTAGATCTTTGAGAAAATAAATAAAATTGATAAACTTCTAGCCAGACTGAGGAGAAAAAAAGAGTGAAGACGGAGGTTAAAAATATCAGTAATGACCTCACACCATTAAGAAAACAATTACCATACAATCCAGCTATTCCAATGCTAGGTATTTATCCAAAGAACAAGAAAATATGAATGCATAAAGATATCTGCACCCCTATGTTCATCACAGCATTATTCACAATAGCCAAAGCTACGAAGCAACCTAGATGCCCATCAATGGATGAATGAATAAAGATGTGGTATATATACACAATGGAATATGACTCAGCCATAAAAAAGGATGAAATCTGGCCCTTTATGACAACATGGATGGATCTTGAGGGTATTACGCTAAACACAATAAGTTACAAGGAGAAATTCAAATACCATATGATCTCAATCAAAAATAGAAGATAATATGAACAACACATAGAGACAGAGATTGGATTGGACAGAGGGGAAGGGGGGAGGGAGGAGGATGAAAGAGGTGATTAGGCACATGTGTCTGGTGATGGATTGTAATTAGTCTTTGGGTAGTAAATATGATGTAATCTATATAGAAGTTGAAATATAATCCAGTGCACCTGAAATTTACATAATGTTATAAACCAATGTTACTGCAACAAAAAAATTTTTAAGTGTCTAAAAAAAAAAAAATCAGTAATGAAAGAAGTGATGTCACTACAGATCCTACAGAAAGTATTATAATAATAAGAGTATAGTATCAACAACTTTATGCCCATAAATTCAACAACTTAGATAAAATGGTATCTTTGAAAGACACAAATTATCAAAGCTCACTCAAGAGAAATAGATAACCTGAATAGTTCTGAATCTACTTTAAAAATTGAACATGTAATTAAAACTTTTCCACAAAGAAAACTCCAGATCCAGATGGCTTCCTCACTGGTGAATTCTCCCAAATATTTAAGGAAGATGTATCAATTCTATACAAGATCTTCCAGAAAATCGGAAAGAGCAAAAATACTACCCAACTCCTTCCACGGGGCAAGCATTAAGACAAAACCAAACAGATATATTACAAGTAAAACAAAATAAAACCTACAAACACTATCCCTCATGAACATAGATGCAAATATCCCACCAAAAATATTAGTAAATTACATCCAATAATATAGAAAAAGGATAAAACATCAGGACAAAGTAAAGTTTATCCCAGTAATGCAAGATTGGTTTAACAATCAAATATCAATAAATGTAATTCACCATATTAACAAACTAAAAGAAAAAAATAATCATCATTTCAATAAATTCAGAAAAAAATGTTTGACAAAATCCAACAACCATTCTTAATAATAAAAAAAAAATTCTCAGCAGGCTATGAACAGAAAGTAATTTCTCTGACCTGATAAAGAGCATCTATGAAAAATTTACATTAGCATCATACTTAATGGCAGAAGACTGAACAATTTCCCCAAGATCAGGAACAAGGTGCACTCTCACGCTTCTCTGCAGCATTATACTGGAGATTCTAGCCAGTGCAACAAGGCAAAAAAAGTGAAATGAAAGTCATCCAGGTTGGGAAAAAGGAAAATTGCCTTTGTCTAGTATTCTTTCTACTATACTTCTAACTTTATGATTTATATTTTCTCTCTGTATATATTTTAAATAGTAAAAGAATTCCACAATTAAATTAAAATTACAACAAGAACATTCACCAACAATTATATACGTCCTATGAAGAACAATTTTTTTGTCAGATGACCCAAGGGAACTTCTGTTAAATACAATGAATATCACTGTGTGCCGAGAACCCTGATGGCAACCACTTTGAAATCT